GAGAGAGAGAGAGAGAGAGAGAGAGAGGGAGAGAGGACGAGAGGGGAGAGGGAGAGAGAGAGAGAGAGGAGAGAGAGAGAGAGAGAGAGAAGGAGGGAGAGCGAGAGGAGAGAGGGGAGAGAGGAGAGTAGGAGGAGAGGAGAAGAGAGAGAGAGGGAGAGAGGAGAGAGAGAGAGGAGAGAGAGAGGAGAGAGAGAGAGAGAGGAGAGAGATGAGAGAGAGAGAGAGAGAGAGAGGAGATGAGGAGAGAGCTAGAGGAGAGGAGGAGAGAGGAGAAGAGGAGAGAGAGAGAGAGAGAGAGAGAGAGAGAGTCCGATGGCTGGTGCAGGTGTACTGGAAGGAGAGACGTCACGCCGACGTAGCTGCAGTGAGAGCCGGAGGAGGGCCCGCGTGCTGACGCAGGTGTTCGGAAGAATGGAGGAGGTCCGGCGGCCGGGACTGGTGTATTGAGCGGAGGGAGGTGGTCCGTCGGCCTCGCTCATGTGTGCGGACGCGGCCGGCCGTAATAAATGGCGACGGAAACGGGCGATGGCAGCGATATAGGCCGAGCGCGCTCCGGCCTTATACGGGCGACGCGCGCCGCTCTCGCCCTAAGAAAGCGCCGGCGCCCGTCGTGTGGCATTTACATACGGGATGAGGACAGCCGGCGGGACGTCTGATTGGCTGGTGGGGAGGCGGAGAGGCCGGCTAACGAGCGGCCCGCCGTCGGTGCCGCGCTCCCGACCGACGGCACCGGCGAGCGCCGCCCTCCGCTCTCCGCTCTCCGCCCGCCGCCCGCCGCCCGCCGCCCTCCGTTCTCCGACCTCCCAGCGTGCCGCTCTGCCGCGCTGACAAGGCGAAGACGAGTGTGGACATGTGGGCAGTGGGTTTACAGTCTGAGGCGCTCTGCCGGCGCTGCTCGGTGTACTCACGCGTATCGTGCTGTCGATGCGGGGATGTGACGCTAATGGCTCTGAATTCGTCGTGAGGTAATGAACGATTGTGACAGAAAGTGGGGCTGACAAGGCAGGGGTCGGTTTCTTTGGAGTGATGTTGTGTCTCGTGCTGCACGTGGTCTTAACGTGCATTTTGTTTATTTTTCTGGATGGAACTTGTGCTGTTTTTTTGTGGAGGGAGGGCTTTGGCTGCTCCAGGGTTTGAGCACTCTCGGGTTAATTAGAATGGGCCGTTCAGCGGTGACGTTAGCATTGTGGTGGCGCCATCTGTAACAGTGTTTCGTGCATCGAATGCTAGGCGAACATCTGGCCTATTGGGTTTTAGGACAAAGTTTGTTACGAGCTTTTTGCTTTACTTGATTTGAATTCCGACGTGCTTTGGGAAGACGAGCGTGATCTTACGAACCAAAAGTGCATGAACTTTGTCTGTACGCACTTTCGTCCGCATCCCTGCTGAATGAGTCGGGTATTTCGGAGTCCATCATTGAGTCCCCGCACACAAGTCACTGGCGTAAAAATAGCACCCAGCGTTGTGCGTTTGCGTGCTTTTTAGCAGTCAACAAGCGACTAGCCTCTGTGGTCGTCGCGCTCGCTTCTGTACAGAGGCCTCGCTAAGGCCGCTGCTGCTCGCGTCCCACCGTGCCCGCCCAGACGCGTGACCGTCCCGCGCGCTCGTCGCAGGCTCGTCGGCGCTGCTGGTGAACACGTCGACGCCGTCGGTGGCCGCCTCGAGCGGCGCGCACTCGCTCATCACCTCCCAGCTGCTGTCGCAGATCAAGCACAGTCAGCTGGCGCTGCAGCTGGCCGCCTCCTCCGCCCAGCAGCCGACGGCCAGCACCGAGCCCTCCCGTATCATCACCAGTAGGTGGCGCTGCCGGCGGCCGCGGGGGGCGGTAGGAGCGGGACCGCGTGAATGGGAGCTGAAGGGCCCAGCCTTGCACTGCTCTTTTCAGAAGGCTTCACGCTTGTGGCGGTTTGTGCAGCACGTCCATCATAAGGGTCTGTGACGTTCCGGTGCCGTGAGGAAAGCATCTAGGTGAGGCCGCTACAGTGGTCACAAAGTACAGCTTCCGACAGGGCAGCCCCGCCAGTGACCGTCCGTCCCGTGTCCTGTTCGCCGTCGGTGTCCACCCCCGTTGCGGCTCGGTTGTCTCGTGCGCCTCGCTGTCCTCGCTGTCTGCTGCAGCCGCCTGTCAAACGGTCTCTCCCCCGCCCCTGCAGCGCCCATGCCGTCGCTGTTCCACACGCCGTCGGGCATGCTGCAGCTGCCCGAGGGTCTGGTGCTGCTCAACAGTCCGTCGACGGTGATACAGGCCGTCAAGAGCGAGCACGGTCAGTGGCCCGCCAGGCGGCGCGCCCGGCAGCGGCGGCGCCGCGGATGCACCGGGATGCACCGCTGTCGCCGATTTCTGGCCTGCGGGCGGTTCAGGTCGATGTCGTGGCTCCGTGTGCTATTCGTCGATGTCGATATATGTATGTATTCGTCGATGCTGTTCGTTGATGTAGTTTGGGGTGAGCGCCGGGACATCGGGCCGCGGCTGTCGTGTTCGGGCAGTGGCAGTGTCCATAGATGGCGCTACGGGCGTGTGTTGGAACGCCGCGCTGTTCTGACTCTGGTGTGACCAGACTTGTGCTCGACTCGAACTGAATCATGCATCGATTCATGAGTCAATGTTTTGGGGTGAGTCGTGAGCTGAGTCGGCTTGCTGGGAAAAATGTCGCTTTGGGTCACATGCCGCTTTGAGCCGAATCACATTGCTCGTTAATTTCGTGAGCCGAACCGTGAGCTGATCATTTCTAGCAATTTTGTGTCATTGAGTCATATGGATTAAATGAAAATGATAATATGAGGAAGCACGGCACGCCCCAGACGAATAAACAAACCATTTTACAGTGCTCAAATGAATGGCACGCAGCATTTGGTGTAAAGCTTTTACTCAAAATTAGCATAAAATGTGTTATTGTACTTTCCAAGCAGCAAACCCAATATTGTGGATCATGAAGTTAAGTTGACCAAATCTCAGCCAGGAACCAGGGTATGTTACATGGTAAGCACATCCTACACTCACATATCGTATATGCGAGAATCAGTGAAAGTATGTCCGCTTCCTACAATATAGAAGAGTTGGTCATATTTTGTAGTTTTCGGTTGTCAACAACAATATGTCTGTACCATCATACTTGGGCTGCTGTAAGCGTGCTATTGCTGAGGCTGTACGAAATCAACAGCAGTAGTGACCAGGTCGTTTCGTCTCTCGTGCGGATTGTTTGTTGCGGGATGTGACCTCCTGCGTCAATAGCTATTTTCACGCAGCATGCTGCAGTTTGCCCGTGAGAATTGGGCTTCCATATTTAGTGGTCTTGGAGTGCGGGTGCAGAAGCGCGCAGCACCGCAATCTCTGCGTCAATAGCTATTTTCACGCAGCATGCTGCAGTTTGCCCGTGGGAATTCGGCTTACATATTTAGTGGCCTTGGAGTGCGGGTGCAGAAGCGCGCAGCACCGCAATCTCTGCGTCAATAGCTATTTTCACGCAGCATGCTGCAGTTTGCCCGTGAGAATTGGGCTTCCATATTTAGTGGTCTTGGAGTGCGGGTACAGAAGCGCGCAGCACCGCAATCTCTACGCAATGCGGAAACCTGTTTTGACTCCTAACTCATCATGAAGTGGCCTGATGAGATGAGGTCTGATGAGGCACCCCGCGAAAACGGCAGTGGGCGGCGCCTTCGTTAGCAAATATCGAGTTCAGTTGTTCAGTTCAGTTCAATTCAGCTCAGTGCGGTTCCTTGTTGAGCGGAAAACGGGGCTCAAGTTAGGTGGATTTGTGTCGGGCTTGTTTCGGATAAATGTACTTGTAATTCGTAACATTTACTACCTAAATAAGATCATAATATGTTTGTAACTTATGCTAGCTAATTGCTATTGCAAGAACCGCAGTCCGATGTTGAATTGTTAACGTGCCTTGGCCAACGGTATCGCTAGTATGTTAGTGGAGATGTGATTGCTTGAGTGTGAATGCGTTTGGCTGGCACCTGGTCGGTCTGGGTGGCGGGGGCCAGGTGGAAGGTGTTAGCCGGAAGCTGAGACTTGAGAGAGCTAGCTGTTTGGTAGCAGGTTACGGGTTATATGTGGTTTGCGGAGCTGCATTTGGTAGGCTCAATGTACAAACTTGCGTCTTGACTTTCATATCTATTTTCCATACCACGATATGCATTAATATATATATATATATATATATATATGAATGAATGAATGAGCCACATGGCTCGTGAGTCATAAGACAACGAGTCAGAACTGAAAATTGAACCCTTGATTGTACAAGCTGTGTAAGTTATGAGTCAAATGATTCAATGCAAGCAGTGAGTCAGAACTGAGCTAAATTTCAAAAATGATGGAACGTCTTTAAGTCATGAAAATCTTAATCAGATTCATCAGAACCTGAATGGGATCCCAAAATCTGTGAGTCGCTGCTGAGTCAGCCTAACAAAAGTTGTGCCGAACACAAGTCTGAACGTGACCGTGTGGAGTCACCTGTTGTGGCTGGGTGGCGGCCTAGGGTTGAACCGCGGATGTGTTGCATCTATGCAAAGCGTCTCCAGCGCGGTGCGCTGTCGGCAGGTTTCAGGGCCGGTGGTGGAGACTGCAGGATCGCAGATGTCCTGACGGCCCGTTCGTTGTCTGCTTCCAGCCGGCGAGCCGCCCAACACCACGCAACCAACAGACCTCTCCAAGTCCCGCGTCATCAACCATGTCTCGTAGACCCGCCTGCTGCGCCGGCCGGGGCGCGTTCCGACGAGCCCTCTCCGACGCCGACCCGGGCGAGCGCCGTCTCTCAAGACGAGGCTCCGACCGGCGCCTCTGGTTGGACGGCAGCTGTGCTCAGTACGTCGTCTCTGGTCGGCCCGACGGGGCCCGGCCGGCTCAACCCCCGCGCCGCCTCCCGACGTCCAGTGACGGCTGCGTGCCGGGGTCGACGGCCGGCGGAGGTGCTAGGCGTGGACTACCAGTGAGAGGCGGCGGCCGCTGCACCGGAGGGCGGCCGCTGGCGGAGACCGACCCGACCTCGACCCCGCGCGGAGCAAGAGCAGCGGCGGCCGGCTCGCCTGCGCGCGTGTGTGTAGTGATAGTCCTGGCTGAGGTGGTGTTACTGCGCGTCTAACGCCCATATCTTCTTTCGAAAGGACTGAAACGCACCGCTGCACTGAGGATGATCTGCGCAAATGATATGAGCGTTGAGAAAGACGGCCTTTACACAAATCTCGTGGCCCAAGCACGGCTCCTCTGCTGAATGCATGACATTCAGACAGCATCTGCGATCCGTGTGGTTCTTAGGCTTCATGAAAGTATCTCGCTCAGTTCTTCATGTCCTTTTGTACAGTGCTGCTGAGCAGGATTAGTGTTTCTCATCGTTTCGCACCTGAATACGTTGCTTTGTTTTCGTCTGTCCTGCGACTAATAGCTTGGTGGGTGTTGTTTTATTGTTATCAAAACTCGACTAACGTCCTAGTCAACCTTCATAGAGCGTGGTGTGAACCCTGTTCAAAGCGGGATTTCTGGTTTGTCTTACAAACAAATAGGAACCAACATATTTCAGTAAGTGTGTGACCTGTGCTGACTTGAAGCAGCGCTCACGCCCTGGTGGGCAGTACAGGTTGTGTCGCTCAATGCTTCAACGGGGAAGACCGATTGCTGTGTTTCGATGCCGCACCAGCTGTTCTCCATGTCATCGGTGTCAGTGCGTCCCATCAGTGTGCGAGCAGAGGGAAAGACAGACAGATGTATCATTATCGGGTGCTAACGGAACTCTGCCAATTTTCTGGAGCAATGAATGGAAGCTGTTGCGTTCGAGCCTCGCTGGCGGCGTGTGAGTTCGGCGTCGGCCATATTGTCGAATTTTATAATGGCGTCGAGTCGTATTCACGCACGTGTCCTGTGGTATGATACCTGCGAACCCATGGTGAAAGCCGTCGCCTATGCACGGCTTGTGGCAGGTGACGGGGCTTGCTTCCGCTCAAGGGTGCCGAGCGTCTGTGGCCGGCGGCCGGCGTCTGCTGCCGCCTCACTAGGCGGCTGGCGAGCCCTCGGCGGGCGCCGCGCCGCTGCCGCCGCCGCTGCCTCCGCCTCCGCCGCCGCCGCCTGACACTAACCCCGTGTGCTGTGTACTAGGGCTGCCGTGGCGGCGTGCCACTGACGTATAACACTGTGTGGGCCTCGCCGCGCGCCGTCCGCGTCGGTCCCGTCGGCGGGGCTAGCGCGGCACGGGCCGGCTCGCGCGCCCGTCCCGGTCGAGCGGCGCCGTCGCGTGGAGTCAGACTGGAGTGCCCGGTGGGCCGGACCTGACCGGCCTGATTGGTGCTCCTCCTCCCCCCCCCCCGAATGCTGTGTATTGCAGCCCCCCCCCCTCTCGTGTCATAGGGACCTGCGCTTGTTGCCTTCCCCAGCGTGACTGCTTAGTTGTCTTGTTACTTTTTGTAATAAATGTACGAGTTTAGGTCGCCTATGCCGGTTGACTTCGGTGAAGGCCCGGGGCAGAGAGCCTGTTTGCCTTTGCAATAGCCGACTGGATGATCGATAAAGAATGGAATGTGACGCTTTGAGAGACGTTTGGAACCGTTCTGGAAAATTCGCACGGAGACAGGTCGTGAGACATCGGATGCGTCAGTGCCGCTTGGTCAGCATTTTCTGCTGACAAGCCGACGTCTCCCGCGTGATGCAGCACTGCCGGCACCGATATCCTGTGGTGCGTACACCACATGCCTCTTGTATGATGTGGAGATCGAACGGCACGCTCGTGCAGCGCCAGGAAATGTCGGCAGCGAGCTGGGCTCGCCACCTCCGGCGTCCGCCCAGAAATTGGCCGGCGCCTCCGTTCACATCCTGAATGGTGCCGATAACAGCTGACGCATCGCCGGAAGGAAGCGCCGCGGAGGCTGTCGCCGTCTGGAGACGGCCGGCGACGTCGCTAGTGGGGGCACTTCTGGCCGGAATTCCCCGGCGCCCCGCCTCGCATGACGCAGGGTGCGCCCCGAGCGGTGCGTGTTCTCGGCGGCACCATCAGAGACTGGCCGGCCGGCATTTCCTCTCTGCGATCACCTCGCAGGCACGCGGTGGCTGTGGGAAATGAGTAACTGCGCGTGTTCGAGCGCGGTGCGTCAGCCGTCTCTATCGGGACGTTCGTCGGGCCGATCGAACGAGGATGTCGAGCCGATCAGGTTACCGATACCGCCGAGCGGCCTTGAGTGCTGGCGGCGTTTTTGCGCGGCTGGCCTGCGTCGAGTGCCGGCATCTCCGAGGTTACCGGGAGCGTTCGATGGCACACGGCCACCGGAGATGGGATACGAGACGCTGCTGATACACTGCCAAGAGCGCCGTCAGGGACGCGTGCGCCGGTGAGCTGCTGTCGACAGCTGCGTGGTTATTTGTTATGTGATGACGGGAAAGGACGGACGCTCTCGATTGAGCATGCCATTAAAATTCGTGTGTATACGTACTTGCATCCATCGGATATTTTGTCTTAATCGTGTAGAGATGGAAACGAAAATGTCGTTTTGGGGCAGTGGACAGCTTCCGAAATTATGGCAGGCACGACTTGTTTCAAGTATGGTCCGCAGGTTAAAAATTGTCTCAGCATGTGGCAAGGATACTTATCACTGACCTACCCATGTACATGAACTGATGAATATGAGATCATTGCTTAGTCCCGTTCGCTCGCCCTTTCCACATACCGTGGACTATATTTCATTTCACCAAAACAGTCCTGGTTTCTCGGTCGTCCGTTTGTAACACCAGCGTATTGCGCTAGAGAGTCCCGGATGGCTCTTTCCCGTCCCCTATAACGCGTCCCTGGCCGTGTCCTCGTCCTCGGTCTCATCCGCCCCGATTCTCCGCGCTCTCCAGCTGCCCCAGACGACGCCGGGAGTGACTCCGAGAGTCCAAATCAGACACTTGACGCCGCCCGCGCCAGCCGCGCCAGCCCCCCCCCCCCCCCCCCCGGCGGGGGGGGGGGGGGGCAGCAGGTGGCGTCGTGACCGGTGGCACGGCCGGTTCACGTGCGCGGGCCGCTATCGCACCGATAGCCTGGCGCCGCCAGCGGCATTATCCGAACGACAGATGGCCGGGCAAACAGACGGCGGCGCCGCCAGCTCAGAGCGCCGGACAGCCGCCCGGACATACGCGGGCCGGACGCCACCCGCGCTGTCCGGCCGGGCGGTGGGACAGGTTCGAGGACGAGCGCAAACCAGACCGGTCACCATCAGGAAAGCCGGGGCGATGGATGTGGCGTGGAAACTGCCAGTGGCGACGTGACGCTCATTGTCATTAGCCAAATCTTATTATTCAGCTATTCAGGGATGTTGTGCCGGTTGCCTTGCCACTCCGACGTTTCCCAGCATTCTACCATTTGCCGGCAAGAATGACTGGGGAATGCCGCCTGAATACATACCAGCGACCACGCCATTTTGCCTTGGAAATGATCTACTCAGGGATGCATAGAGGACTTCACAATGGAGGGGTGGAGTGGTACGCCTGAAATGCTGGTATCGAAAACCAAGCGCGCCGTAAAAATTGCGAAATTCAATTTGCGGCGTAAAACGTGTGGCAGCCAATGCAGAGGTGCATGAAGAGAATCAACGTGTAACTGGGCTTGTTTCTTCCTTGCTTCCCGTTGCGGACGCAGCTCCCAGCCGATACCAAGGGCGGTAAAAGTGTACTTTTTGTCGCCGACCAAATTTATTGGGGGGAAATTGTCACCAGCAGCGTAATGCGATATCACATGACAAAATGGTCATTAAGCCCACGCCCAGTAGCGTCATCAGGAATCCGCCTATCACAGAAAGCCTGTTTCATCACTGCCATTTTCAACATCACGCACACAACTAAAACGCTCAACTCTACAATGTCCTTCAAAAAATGTCAGCATAAGTGCAGCTGCTAGCAAAGCAGGCACACCTGCCCTAGACTATGAGATAGTCCATTCACAACAATAGTTTTCTTCCACCCTTGGGACTTGCAGAGGCCTCATGTTTAAACCTACGGCAGGATCTGCTTTCCTCGACCGCAAAAAAAAACAACGAAAGACCTTCACAGCCAGAGCAGAAGGATGCATGGTACACCGCGAACCAGTGGCGAACAGCACTGGGGATGGCGTCCAATATGCGGGCCTCCTCGAGGCCGTGCCCCCTTACGAATATCACGTGTGCGCTTCGGGCGCTATCTCAACCGTCATTAAACTATCCACCATACCTTGGGCACGCTCCAAGCCTGGCGTGACATGTTTTGCCTGGTGGGCGCATCTCGCCGTGCCCAGCAAGTAAGTCGCATTGAAATTTAGGGGGGGGGGGCAGGGTCATGCGATCCCCTTACGATTTTCAGAGAATTTCAATGCGTCATATTGTGCAGCCTCGCTCAGATCTTTAAAAACTCTCCTCTGGGACATCCACTGCACGCATGTTGACACGGCAAAGTGCACCAAGCAATTATCGTTCCAGAGTAGCGATGTTTCTTTACGTGCATTGCAAGACGATGCAAGGCTGGCGGGCGCGGCGGGCGGCAAGCGACAGTTCTGCGGACGGCGCGCGTAGGGCTGGGCGTTGTTACATGAACGAAGCCCTACATTATGAAGATAGGCTCGAAACAGATAAAGCTGCATGCTGTTGTACTCATAATTAAACAAGGGACATACCTCTCCATGTTCCATGCCATTACACTGCGTGCTTTCGTATATGAACATGCAAAGCTGATGTCGTTTAGAGAATCTGACATAAGACTTCGTCTAGTGGGGTCAGTTAACAACAGTAGACTTCTTACCAATCGCGAGATCTCTTGACAGATAGATTACCGATGTCTTTTTTACGAGACCCCACCTTTCTCACGTCAGGGAATCGCCCTTCCCCTCCCCTTTCAGCCCGCATTATGAGGACCGGCGAATCAGGGTAAAAATTAAAGGGAATGGTCCACATTCGAAGATATTGAGATAAGCATCAGATATGATGGG